GGGTCGCACAGGGCTCGATTCTTGAACCCCTTTTGTTTTCACTATCTGCTCCCTTTGGTGTCTATCCTGAGGAAAAATGGTCTTTCATTTCATTGTTATGCTGATGATTGTCAGATTTATCTGCCCTTAAAACCTAAGTTTTGCTGCATTCGCCCTCTGTTAAAATGTATTGATGACGTCAAAGCATGGATGGTTTCAATAGTTTTAGGTTTTAATGATCAGAAAACTGAAGTCATTTAGCTTAGCTCTAGCTACCACTTTCTCTCATCCTTTAAACCTCGACTCTCTTCAGCCTTATTTTAAGCAGTCTGTTACAAATCTCGGGATGGTTTTAGACTTGGACTTTAAGTTTAATAAACAAATTAACTCTGTTCTTCAAAAAAGCTTCTTCCAGTTAAGGCAGATAGCTGCGCTTAAGTCCGTGTTGACCAGATCTGACCTTGAAAAAATTGTTCATGCATTCGTTACAACCCGGCTGGACTACTGTAACGCACTTTATGTTGGGGTCAGTCAGATGTCTCTTTCACGTCTCCAGCTCGTCCAAAATGCTGCAGCTCGGCTATTAACATGAACTCTTAGATTTGAGCACATTTCACCAGTTTTGTCCTCCCTTCACTGGCTCCCTATGTGTGTCAGAATTGATTTTAAAATTCTCCTGCTGACATTAAGTGAGTTAATGACCTTGCACCCTCATACCTCTCTGACCTACTTCAACCATATATTCCTTATCAGTTGCTGAGATCATCTGACCAGCTGCTTTTGGTTGTACCAAAAACCAGAGATCGGGCTTTTTCAGTCATTGGCCCTAAACTTTGGAACAATCTGCCCCTCGACATTAGACAGGCCACTTAACTTCCTGCTTTAAATCTCTGCTATAAACACACCTGTTTTCACTGACATTTAACACAGTGTGATTTGATTTACCATTTCATTGTTTCTCATTATTTTTGTGTTTTTATTTTTGATGCTTTTAATTACTTCTTTTTTTCTTAATTACTGCCTTGATCTTATTGTGAAGCACTTTGATAACAGTTGCCGTTTTAAATGTGCTTTATAAATAAATTTGACTTGACTTACGCAGAATGCATTCAAACCACTTTGATACAACAGGCTGTTTTATAACTCTCGTACCTTTTTCTTGATTGCTGCGTGCCTTTGCTCCATGTCCCTCTTCTCCCGGGCAGCGTCTAAGACAAACTGAGTGTGCTGAAAACAGAA